GGATGGGGAATTTTCCTGTACCAGGGATTCAGGAGGAGCAGATCCCAACCCCAGCTCAGTGTTTGGTCCTCCCTGGATGGGGAATTTTCCTGTGCAGGGACTCAGGATCAGATCCCAGTCCCAGCTCAGTTCCTGATCCTTGGATGGAGAATTTTCCTGTGCCAGGGACAGGAGGAGCAAATCCCAATCTCAGTTCAGTCCCTCTCCTCTGGATGGGGAATTTTCCTGTGCCAGGGGCTGGAGGAGCAGATCCCAATCCCAGCTCAGCCCCTGCTCCTCTGGATGGGGAATTTTCCTGTGCTAGGGATTCAGGATCAGATCCCAATCCCAGCTCAGTTCCTGCTCCTCTTGATGGGGAATTTTCCTATGCCAGGGATTCAGGAGCAGATCCCAACCTCAGTTCAATCCCTCTCCTCTGGATGGGGAATTTTCCTGTACCAGGGATTCAGGAGGAGCAGATCCCAACCCCAGCTCAGTGTCTGCTCCTCCAGATGGGGAATTTTCCTATGCCAGGGTTTGGAGGAACAGATCCCAACACCCAGCTCAGCGTCTGCTCCTTTGGATGGGGAATTTTCCTGTGCAGGGACTCAGGATCAGATCCCAACCTCAGTTCAGTCCCTCTCCTTTGGATGGGGAATTTTCCTGTGCAGGGATTGGAGGAGCAGATCCCAACCCAGCTCAGTGTTTGGTCCTCCCTGGAAGGGGAATTTTCCTGTGCCAGGGACTCAGGATCAGATCCCAATCCCAGCTCAGTTCCTGATCCTTGGATGGAGAATTTTCCTGTGCCAGGGGCTGGAGGAGCAGATCCCAACCTCAGTTCAATCCCTCTCCTCTGGATGGGGATTTTTCCTGTGCCAGGGATTCAGGAGGAGCAGATCCCAACCCCAGCTCAGTTCCTGATCCTTGGATGGGGAATTTTGCTGTGCAGGGACTCAGGAGCTGCTGGAAATGCCATCCCGGGGTTGTCCCCTGAGCTGTGTCACTCACAGGGGGTTTTGGGGTTTGCTCTCAGCTCCCCTCNGAGAGAGGGATGGGACCGGGAGAGAAGGGAGGGAATGAATTGGGAGTGAAGGGAGGGATGGAACCGGGAGAAAAGAGAGAGCGATGGGACCGGGAGAGAAGGGAGGGAATGAATTGGGAGTGAAGGGAGGGATGGAACCGGGAGAGGACGGAGAGGGATGGGACGGGGAGAGAAGAGAGAAGGGGATGGGACCGGTAGAGAAGAGAGAGAAGGGCAGGGATGGAACCGAGAGAGAAAAGGAGGGAGAGAAGAGGCAGGGATGGAGCGGGAGAAGGCAGGGATGAAGGGGATGGAGCGGGAGAAGGCAGGGATGAAGGGGATGGAGCGGGAGAAGGCAGGGATGGAGGGGATGGAGCGGGAGAAGGCAGGGATGGTGGCATCTGCCACACCCTGCGGCCACCCCCGGCCACCTCCCTCCCAGGACACTGCGCTGGGGTCCCTGGAGCTCCTGCTGGGTCTGGAATGGTTCTGCTGGACCTGGAAAACGCCTCCCCAGCAATTCCAGCCGGGATGGGAGCAGGAGATGACGCCCCTTGTGCTGGTGATCGCGTAGTGAGGGGGAACATAACAGCAAAGGGATTTTTGCCACTTCCAAAGGATTTCTGGGAATTTTGTGCAAGGAGATGGAGCCTGAATAGGAGAGATGGGGCACAGCATGGGTTGACTGGAGACCTTTCCTGGCTGGCGTTATTCCCAGTGGAAGCAGGCACTCCCAGCAGCGTTCCCTGGTTCCCCAGCCAGGCGTGAGCGGATCGCGCTTCCCTGGCGGTGCGGGAACCCGGGATGTGCGGGACGAGCCCGCCCACATCCCACGGACATTCGCATTCCCTGAGTCCCGGCATCCCTGCAGAGCTCCGAGAGCCGGCCCCGATCCCAAATCCCATCGGCAGCCGGGATCAGGGTCCTGTGGAACCCCGGCAGAGCAGTGTCCGTCCTTCTGGCAGAGTAAAAATCTGGAATTCCTCCAGTGGGACTCCTTTCCCCTGCAGGGGATGGACACGGGGCAGGGATGTGGCTGTGGGATGGTGCAGGAGCCAGCTGGGACAGTGCCAGCCCCAGCACTTCATTTCCTGATAAACCTAAACACTATCAGCTAATAACAGGAAGGAAAAAATTCCGTGACCTTGTGTGGGTTCCACAAGGCGCTGTAACTCAGATGTGCTGATAACTCCAGGTTTTGCTGCCGTGAATTCATTTTAAAATTTAAAAATGCATTTCCCTGAGTTATTTGGGGGTGGTCTGGGCACTAACACAGCTCCTTTTTCTGTTCTTTCCAGAGGGTCGCCAGACAGGGACGGCATCGTGAGTATTGCCCAGCGTCACCTCCCCTCCCACCACCATCAGCATTTGTGAGCGGTTTTCTGTTTAATATAGAAAATAAATGTAAAATAAGGCAAATTCCAGGTTTGCTATCAAAACACCAACAGGGGGAGGCCTGAGAAGCACAGGGGCACGGGGAGCAGGTGTCCTGCTAAATCCCAGCTCCTCATCCTTGTTTCCACCCCTGCTAATTGGCTTGGGCCAGATTTGCTGCCTGAGGAGTTCATTGCCAGAGCAGCTGTTTCCAACCTCTATTTTTATTTTCTATATTAACCTGAAAACAAGGAGATGTTTGTGGTTTGTTGGTTTGGTTTTTTTCCTTTTAATTATTGCTGCTTTTATTCCTGGTGTTAGACTGAAATGTCCCTGCTAGAGCTGGGTAGGAGATGGGCCCTGTCTCCTTTAGTGCTTGATATAAAAAATATTCTGGGTTCTGCCTGGGCTTTATTTCTTCAGCAAATCCAGATTTTAGAGTTCCACCTCAAAATAAAGATGAGCCCCTTGTGAGGCTCAGCAGGGAGAGCAGTGCTGGGGTATCTTTTAAAAGATAAAAATTTGTGGGCCAGGCTGCTCCTTGCAAGAAATAATTTTAGTTTTCCCCCCAATCTGACCCAAAATCCTTGGCTTTGGGCAGGCTCTGTGTTTTTAAGCTGCTTGTTAGGAAAGTAAAGGTACTTCCTTCAGCAGGGCTCTATTCAGCAGACATAAATTAATAAAGAGCAGGTTTAGGCAGGATAAATTAATAAATAGCAGGATAAATTAATAAATAGCAGATTTAGGTCGGACATCAGGAGGAATTTGTCCATAGAAAAGGGTGTTCAGGGAGGTTTGGAGTCCCCATCCCTGGAGGTGTCCACACCTGGATGTGGCACTTGGTGACAGGGTGGGGATGGGCACAGCTTGGGCTGGATGATCCTGGAGGGTTTTTCCAATTTTAGTTCTGGGAATATCCCCAGGCTGTTCCCTGTTCCAGCATAAATCCCATGGGCAGCTTTTCCTCTGCAGGTGTGGGCAGAGGGACCTCAGGTGTCCTCTCCAAGGACGCAGAAATGCAATTTTTAGGGGACAAAACAAAGTTCCTGGAGGTGTTTGAGGCAGAGGGATTGGCGATGGAGAAGTTTAATATAATTTTTCATCCTCCAGACCCTTTTCCACATAATTTTTGCGGCTACTGGAGTGGCCAGAATGCAAATCCTGACTGCTGAATAGAGCCCACAGGAAAATCCACCTTCAATCCTGGTGGAGCCAGAGCTGAGCCTTCCTTTCCCGACAAATCCGTGTTCCCTGCTTCCTAAAACTCACTTTTGTGCACTTAAAAAGAAAACCCCCCAAACCAGCCAAGGAGCAGCTGTTTTAACCCTTTTTGTGCCACCCCCACCCTTGCAGCAGCCCAGCCCTCATCCCAATGATCCAACCTCCAATAGCAAAGCCGAGGGCACGCGGGAAGGAGGAAATAAAAACGGGGTAAGGAAAACTGAGCTCGGCCCCCAGCTCCCACAGAAAACAGGGAGCCACCCTTGGTTTGGAACCCAGAGTGCAGGAAAATCCCTTCAGGGTCAGCCTGGCCTGTGGAAATGGGGTTAAACACAAATGGGTGGGGGGAAAGCAGGAATGCCCTGGAGTAGTGCCCAGAATTCCCACAAAATAGAACCCAGGGGAGGTTTTCCCTCCTCAGCTGAGCTCCAAGGGAGCTGCTCCACCCAGAGCTGTGGAGGTGAGGGGCTGCACCCAGCCCTGGACCAGGGAGGGCATCCTGCCAGCCCCTCGGAGGGAGCTGGCGTGGGAATGGTCCCTCTGGAAGCTCAGGGGAGCTGGGTTGTCCCATTCAGGTGCCCAAAATCCCCAAAATCACTGTGGCCGTGGGACTTTGGGTGGGTTTGGGTGCCCAGAGCCAGCCAGGAAAGGGTTCCAGAGGTGAGGGATGCCTGGAGCCTCTTCCAAACAGAATTCCCTTGATGCCAAGCAGCAGTTTCTTGTGTGTGTTGGTGTTTCATGGCATGGACTCATCCTTCCCACTGTTCCATCCCGAATTCACAATTCCTGGCATGTGGGATAACGGGATCTGACTCCTTCTTGGGGTTGCTCTTTCTTGGGGAAGGGGTTTTGTCTCCCAGGAAATGTTTCCTGAGAAGTTTCCCTGCTTGACTGGTGTTGGGAGCTTCCCAAGGGCTGGGAGGTCCCAGCACAGGGAGAAACTTTCCTCACTTTTCCCTAGGGAATGTTGGATGTCCACCTAAGGAATATTCAAACCCCTCCCCTTTCATCTCTCTGGGATGGGAGAGCCCCAGAGATGGGGAATGCTGTTGGGTTTGTGCTGTGGGTGTGGGATAACAGCATCTGCTATGGGATGTGCTGTGCTCCTGCTTCCTCCATTTGAACTGCGGGAATTTTCCTTTCCAGAAGAAAACCAATGGAGCCCCAAATGGATTTTATGCAGAGATCGACTGGGACAGATATGTAAGTGTCCCCTGGAGCTTCCCTGCCCCAGCTGCATCCCATGGGGACCCCAGGCTCTTCCCACACTCATTTTGGGCTCTTTGGGTGAAATCAGCTCTGTCCAGATCCCAATTCCATACCTGCAGCTCAGCCAGAATTCCCAGGGATGAGGTGGCTCTGGGGAGCTCTGTCCTGGCCCATGGGACGTTGCAGTTTAGCCAGAGAAAACTTTGAATCCTCAACAAGGATTAAAGCTTTTCCTTCTGCAAAATGAATCATGGAATTTGAGGTGCCCTGTGTGGCCCCAGGGGGTTGGGCTGTGCAGGACATCCTTTCCCACAGGAGGGAAGAGCTGCTCCAGCTTTCCAGGAGTGAACAGTCCTCATTTTCCTGTTTGGGTTTTTTTTGTTTTGTTTTGTTGCCTATGCAGAACTCCCCTGAGCTGGATGAGGAGGGATACAGCATCCGACCCGAGGAACCAGGATATATCCTTTGGTTTTGGCTTTGCCTCTTGGGTTACAGCCTGTAACAGGAGCTGGGCTCACAGGCAGGCCCCTGGCTCTTTTTATTTCACTGTTAGTATTTATTATTAATTATAATTCCTTATTTCCACTTTTTGATTTCCATTTGGAGCTGGCTTTCCACAGATAAAGCTGAATCACCTGAGGCATTTGAGTTGTCTTTGACTCACTGCTGTGAAATGATGAGTGGGGAAACATCCCATGGGACGCTCCATGGAGACCAAAATGTCTGTGATTATCCCAGAGAAAAGGAGGATCAGGGAGGAGCTTCAGGTGAGGTGGGAACAGGGACAGGAGCAGGAGGAGTGGCCTCGAATTCCAAGGGAGGTTTATGTTGGATATAGGGGAAAATTTCTCCATGGAAAAGGGTGAACAGACATTGGAACAGCTGCCCAGGGCAGCGGTGGAGTCCCCATGCCTGGAGGGATTTAAAATCCATGTGGATGTGGCACTTGGGGAGCTGGGGCAGCACTGGGGCATGGCTGGACCCGATTGTCTCATAGGGCTTTTCCAACCTGAACAACTCCATGAAATCCAGACATGGATTCATAAATCCAACCCTGGGCTGGACTGATCCCTGAGAGCAGCAGTTCCTCTGCTGCAGGGATGCAGCAGTGACAGGCCCAGCACAGGATTATCCCCTCCTCATTTTGGGATCAACATTTTGGGATCACCAGATTCCTGCTCTCCAGCAAGCTGGGAACACCGAGGGAGGAAAATTCCTTAACTGAGCTGTACCTACCAAAGGAAAGCACTTCTACTCCTCCAGCGAGTCGGAGGAGGAGGAGGAGGCGCACAAGAAATTCAACATCAAGATCAAGCCCCTGCAGGCCAAGGATGTCCTGCGCAGCGCCGCCACCGTGGACGAGCTCAAGGCCTCCATTGGCAACATTGCACTTTCTCCATCCCCCGTGGTGAGTGCCCCCGGCCTTCCCCGGCCTTCCCCGGCCTTCCCCGGCCTTCCCCGGCCCCTGGTGTGTCCCTTTGCAGCTGCCAGATAAATTTGGTGATGTTGGTCCCTCATTCAGGCTGCCCCCGGAGCCGAGGCTGGGCAGAGTTCCAGAATAAAGCAGGGATTGATTCCAAGGATCTCCTCCATGGATCCACTGTGGACAGCACCAGAGCCCAGCCAGGGCTGCACCCAAGATGAACCAAAATGGCCCTAAAATGCACGAGGGGCACGGGCTCTGTCCCTGGGATCAGTTCTGCTCCATTTGCACCTTGCAGTTCATTATCCAACCAAGCATTTATTATGGCAGCCCCTTTTATAGGGGATCCAAAGTTCCTATGGATAGCTGATGGGTCAGGGTCTCTGCACCACCCAGGCCCTCAGCCAGTGGTGAGTTTGCATTTAGGATCAGATGGGGCTGGCTGAGGGTCCTGTGTAGGTTTGAATCCAGCCTATCCTTGCCTTGTCTGGGGATTTGTTTTGCTTCTAAGCTGGTGAGGTCTGATATGACCAAATTTATCTCGCAGCTGCAAACCAGCTGCACTGTGGCAGTGGTAGTGCACTGGGATCATCCCAAACTTGCTGGGAGCTGATGTTCCACTTGGCTTTGGCGTCCTTGTTTTGGGGTCTGGTCTGCAGGTGTTGCTCAGGTTTATTGAAATGATGTTTCCAGTCCAAAACACCTCAAAAATTCCCTTTCCTCCTCGTAAAAGAGATCAGGATGTGTTATTCCCTGTTTGGTTTTTTTTTTTTTTCCCTCTCTTATCCTCATTTTTCAATGAGGAAAAAGGGGAATTTCTATCAAGGGGAATTTTCAATCATCATCATTCAGGGTCTTGCCCTGACTCCCAAGCCAAGGGAAGCATCTGTGGGTTTTCCATGGGGTTTTAGAGGGATGTTTCCCACCCTGGAGGTGAATCCAGGTTCCTGGAAGGAAAGGTCATTTTTCCTTAGTCCATTCCCCTGTGCTTTTCCTGAGGCTTGTTAAGATTCCTGTTGGCTCATCCCAATCTGTTCAGCCATGAAAAGATTGGATTCTGGGCTTTCAGGAGGTTTTGGTGTGGGCTGAAGTGACTTCCCAGACAGAGCTTTCCTTGATTTATAAATAACCTGGATCTGAAGTGTGAATGGCTCTCCAAGCCAAAGTCAAACAAAATCCGTGTGCTTTGTTTCTGCTTCCCAACCAGGGAGTTCCTGTTTGGCATTTCAGGATTAGAAATGGCAGTTGGATGCTTTGGGAAGCACAAAAATAAGGGGCGGGGGGGAACCCAACCTCAAAATGAACAATGTAATACTGATGATAATAATTATAATAATATTAGGAAAACCAAATTCTTGTAGAATGTGTCTTTTACCAAATAGGATTTTTGTCTCTTCTTTCCCGTGGTGTTTTTCCTGCTGAGGTTGGGGGGTTTGGGAAGGGGTGAGGAGGATCCCAGTGTGGGATGGGCTGAGGGATTCGGGTGCTGGGCTGGAGGGGGTCCCTGGGGCTGGGCTGGAGCCTCCCTGGGATGTGCTCAGGGAAAGCCCCCGAGGCTGGGCAGGGGGATCCCAAAGCCAGGACGTGCAGCCAAGGGAGCAGATGGGCCAGGAAAGCACCAGAGCCCCGGGCAGGAGCTGCCTGCAGGAACCTGCAGGAATCCCAGGATTCACTGCCAGGCATCCACAGGAACTCCAGCACTCACTGCCAGCTCCCTGCCCTCATCCTGGGCTTCTCCTCGCTCCCAAGCCAGCCACAAAGCCCTGCTCTGGAACTGCTGGGAGGGAGATCATAAATCCCATGGATTGGGCTGGGAGGAACCTAAAACCCCATCCCAAATCCCACCCCATTCCATGGCAGGGACACCTCCCACTGTCCCAGGCTGCTCCAGCCTGGCCTTGGGCACTGCCAGGATCCAGGGGCAGCCACAGCTGCTCTGGGCACCCTGTGCCAGGGGCTGTGTCCACAGTCACCCTCATTGCCAGCCCTCTGCACTGGGAATTCTGTTGCCTTGACTGGGAACAGCTACCAGGGCCTGTCATGATAAAACAATGGAATTCACCCCCTAAAATGGCTCAGACACAATTTTTCCATTTCCAAATGCTCCCTATCCCTCCAGTCTCCCATGTGAAGGGTGAAGCTGGAGCACTCCTGTCACTCTCTTTTGTCTTTAACCTGACACAAATCTTTGATTCCTCTTTATAGAAAAATCCCTCACCTTCTAATTCCTTCTTTTTTTCTTTCTCTGCCTTCTTTTAGAGGAAAAGTCCGGTAAGAAACGCAATTTTTACGTCCTGGAATATTTTAACCCAGCTTTGTGTGTGCTCTTGTCGTGTCTCTAGAGCTGAAATGCCAAAAGCAAATAACAAATCCTGCCCTTCTAGAATGAAGTTTAATTTCCTTTATCGCTGACTTAGAGCATTTTAAAATAGAATGTATAAAAATAGAGCTGGGCCTGGCTCTGAGAGTGCTTTGGGGGTGTAGTTTGGGTCCAAGAATTTGGACCAGGTGTGTAAGGGCTTGGTGTTACCTGGTTTGGGGCGCATCCAAAGGGAGGAGAAGGCAGGAAGCCCATCCCTGGTGCCACTGGGTTTTCTCCAAGGGAGCTCAGCTTCCAGGGAGGAAATCCCCCCATTTCCCAGGTCCTGGGTTCCCCTGGGGGACTGTCCCAGGGTGACCCACGAGGTGTGGCGGTGGCAGCTGGGCCCTGGGGTGCTGACGTGTCACTCTCTGACCAGGTGTCTCTTCTCTCCCCTCTCGCTGACCGCAGCGGCGCAGCCCGGTAAGAACTGGGATGGGGTCACGGGGGTCCCTGTCCTTGCTGGGCTCTGGGGGGCACAGGGTGTGGGGACAGCTGCCAGGGGGGGCACAGGGTGTGGGGACAGCTGCCAGGGGTGCCACACAGCCCCTCATGTCACCCCAGTTGTGACCGTGTTCACAGGGGTCGGAGGATGAGGGGAGAGACGAGGATCTGACTCAGTGTTTCAGAAGGCTGATTTATTATTTTATGATGTATATTATATTAAAACTAAAAGAGTAGGAGAAAGGATTTTATCAGAAGGCTGGCTAAGCTAAGAATAGAATAGGAAAGAATGATAACAAAGGTTTGTGGCTCAGCTCTGTGTCCGAGCCAGCTGGCTGTGATTGGCCATTAATTAGAAACAACCACATGAGACCAATCCCAGATGCACCTGTTGCATCCCACAGCAGCAGATAACCATTGTCTGCATTTTGTTCCTGAGACCTCTCAGCTTCTCAGGAGAAAAAATCCTACAGAAAAGATTTTTCATAAAAGATGTTTGTGACACCCAGTGATAGCACAGGGAGCTCTCAGTGATGGGGATCCGTGGAGACCCCGCTCTGGCTCTGGGGTGTCCCCGTTCCCATGGCTGGGAGGGTTTGGCTTCTGCCCCACGAGCCCCTGGCACAGCTGGATGGCAGTGCAGAGTGCCCATTCCCAGAGGATGTGCCCATTTGTGCCCATTCCCAACCCCTGTGTATGTGGCACTGGGGACAGCAGAGCTGCCAGCAGTGCCGTTGTGTGGCTCAGGAATTTTCTGCAGGGTTTAGCTCAGGCTCCTGAAGGAAATGTCCCCTCAGACAGCTCCTGCCACCTCTGCTGGGCTGCTTTGCTCCTGGGGTGACAACTGCCACACAGTCCTGTCCCTGTGCATGCCACTGATCCCTGTGTTTCTCCTTCCAGGGGACGATCAAAAGGAATTTATCCAGTAAGTATCTCCTGCAGTCCATCAAACCAGCACTCCTTGCACCTGCTGGGGGGGTTTGGGGAGTGGGGGTGGGAAAAGAGTGAGTTAAATTTGGTTTAAAGTGATCCTGCAGAGCTGGTGGCTCCCAAAAGCTTTCCCTGGAGAAGATGTGGGGGACATCTGCAGCAGAGCAGTTTCCTGATTCAGCTCTGTACAGAAATAAATTGGAGTTAAAAGCAGATTTTTGCTGCCAGGATCCCTGCAGAGCAGGGTGGGTGGGACACCAGGTGTGACCCCCCCCCTGCCAGCAGGGCTCTGGGGGCCAGGGGGATGCTCTGGGGTGGGAATGGCTCTGACTCTCATCCATGTGTGTCCTGTCCTGTCCCAGGTGAGGAGATCACGCGGCCCCGGCGCTCCACGCCCACGCCAGACCCCGCCAGGTCAGTGCAGATCATCCTTCCCAGGCTCAGGGGCCTCATCCCACCCAAGTGGGATTGGGACATTCCCACTTGCACTGTGCTGGATGGGGAGCTGGAGGGGGCAGATGGGGTTTTGGGAAGGAATTGTTCCCTGGGAGGGGGAGGAATGGAATTCCCAGATTTGCTGTGGCTGCCCCTGGATCCTGGCAGTGCCCAAGGCCAGGCTGGAGCACCCTGGGACAGTGGGAGGTGTCCCTGCCATGGCAGGGGTGGCACTGGGTGGGCTTTAAGGTCTTTCCACCCAAAACTATTCCAGGATTTAAGGTCTTTCCACCCAAAACCATTCCAGGATTTTGGCAGGACTGAGGGGCTGGTGGTGGTTGGGATGCTCAGTGCCCATCCCTGCTCTCCACCAAAAGTTCCAAGGACATTCCCTGCTGGAAGGCACCTTGAGCCTGATCCATAGGGAGCAGGCCAAGCTTGGGGGGGGTGGGGGGGATGTATTGATTCAGGACAGCAAACATGCAAGTTTTTATGGAATAAAGCCAAATCTCCCTGGGAATGTGCCCCGTGCAGCTCCAGGGGTCAGCTCAAGGTGTGTTGGAGCAGAGCATGGCCCAGACCTCAAGTATTTATTTTTTTAATCCTTTTCCATGGAATTTTGACTAAACCCAAAGAAACTTAGTGTCCCAGCAGCTGCTGTGGCACCACAGGGTTGGCACTGGGGTGCTGCTCCTTTCCCTTTTCCCCATCTGAAACCCTGTGTTTGGCCAGCTCCTCCTGGGTCTGGGGTAAAAAACGTCCTCAAAAATATTTGTGTTTGCCTCAAAGATGGGGTCAGAACCCAAGCCTGCCCTTCATGGCTGCTCTGTGCTCTCACCCCACAAACCCAAACCTGTCCCTCATGGCTGCTCTGTGCTCTCTCACCCCACAAACACAAACCTTTCCCTCATGGCTGCTCTGTGCTCTCTCACCCCACAAACCCCACAAACCTTTCCCTCATGGCTGCTCTGTGCTCTCAAACCCCACAAACCTGCCCCTCATGGCTACTCTGTGGTCTCTCACCCCATAAACACAAACCTGCCCCTCATGGCTGCTCTGTGCTCTCTCACCCCACAAACCCAAACCTGTCCCTCATGGCTACTCTGTGCTCTCTCACCCCACAAACCCCACAAACCTGCCCCTCATGGCTGCCCTGTGCTCCTCTCACCCCACAAACCCAAACCTGTCCCTCATGGCTACTCTGTGCTCTCTCACCCCACAAACCTTTCCCTCATGGCTGCCCTGTGCTCCTCTCACCCCACAAACCCAAACTCGCCCCTCATGGCTACTCTGTGCTCTCTAGCCCCACAAACACAAACCTGTCCCTCATGGCTGCTCTGTGCTCTCTAACCCCACAAACACAAGCCTGTCCCTCATGGCCGCTCTGTGCTCTCTCCCCACAGCAAGAAGGCCGGGGAGGATCCAGCAGCGCTGGCCCCGCTCTTCGGGCCCCCGCTGGAGTCGGCCTTTGAGGAGGCCAAGCTGGAAGGTGAGTTTGGGGCTGGGGTGAGGGCATTTGGGGCATGGAAGGGGAATTTGGGGCTGGGGTGAGGGCATTTGGGACATGACAACTGAGTTTGGGGCCATGGTGGGTGAGTTTGGGGACCTGGTGACTTTGGGGCTGGTACAGGTGAGTTTGGGGTCATGGTGGATAAGTTTGGGGCATGGCAAGTGAGTGTGGGAGACGTGGTGATTGAGTTTGGGGACTTGGTGAGTTTGGGGCTGGGGTGAGGGAGTTTGGGAACCTGGTGGGTGAGTTTGGGGCACGGCGAGTGGGTTTGGGGACTTGGAGATTGAGTTTGGGGACAGAGTGAATTGGGGCTGGCACAATGGAGTTTACGCTGTGGTGGGTGAATTTGGGGACCTGTGAGTGAATTTAGTAACAGGGCGATTTTGAGGCCTTGGCAATTTTGAGGCCTTGGTGAGTGACTTTGGAACCATGGTGGCTTTGAGGCCATGGTGGGTGAGTTCGGGGACATGGTGAGTGACTTTGGGCCACGGTGGCATCTCCTGTCAGGGACCTGGGAAGGTTCTCCAGCCCTGGCAGGAGTGGAGTCCCCATTCCTGGAGGGATTTCAGAGCTGTGTGGATGTGGCCCTTGGGGAAAAGGTCAGGGGTGGAACTGGCAGTTCCATGGGCTCCGAGGGCTTTTCCAAGCTGGACAATTCCCAGATTCCCAGGTTCCCAGCCCTCCTGCTGGAGGAAGGAGCCCAGGCAGGGGTTGAAGGACAGGTGACCATGTCCAGGGTTAATGCGGGCTGGGTGGAAACAGCAAGTGCTTAAGTCAATTAGTTAATTATGAGGTCTGGGAGAGATCCTGACAGGGAACAGCTCAAGAACATGAAAACTCAGCATTTTCCAGCCAAACCTTCACCCTGGAGCAGGGGGGTTTAACTCCACCCAGGATTCTGGAGGCAGCTGTTGGACAAGCCTTGCACCCCTCCATGCCTAGGAAATACCATCTCAAAAATGTCATTTTTCCCTCCTTTAACACAGAGACACTTTGCTTCCATCCAAATCTGTTTTTTCCCAGCTTTCCCAAAGCACAGGAACCTTGCAAGACTTGTTTTCCCCAAAACCAACCCAATCCATGCCCTGGAGCGGGTTCTTCCCAGAGATCTCCTCCTCCTCCTCCTGGAGGGCCACTGCCCTCGTTATGTCCCGTCATTAACGCCTCCAGTTAATTCTTTTAATCAAAGCAACGTTTCAAAGCAGTTCTCAGCACAAAAACTCCAAGAAATCTAAATTATATACAAAAATATCTTCTTTTTCCCCCCCCCTTTATTCTCTGGGATTACAATTATCTTTTAATTTTGCTACCTGATGGTTTTTTTTTTGTTTGCATATCCTAAAATTCCAGACCACTTTGGCCATCAATACAATGTTTTCCTTCCCATAATAAGCCTCCAAATCCATCCCTGGCATTGTTTTGTTTGTCAAGCAGCATAAGTGTCAAACTAATTGCACGTCCTGCTTCAAAATCAGACAGGATTTTAATTATCCACCGTTACAGAACCCCCTGTCCTTAATTAATGAGGTTTCTGTCACTGTCTGGGCCCTCTTTTCCCAGAGCCTCAGTGTCTCATCCATGTGTTTGGGTGATGGGAATAAAATATTTGGGTTTTTCATTGCTTTCAAATGTTTACTTTTGATTTTTTAGCTGCTCTGGACCAGCCTGAGATATGGGGGTCAGTCCAGCCCATCAACACAAACGTAGAGTCCCCAAAACTTCCAAGACCTTTCCCAACTGGAAGTAAGTGACCATGGAAATAAATTAATATACCCAGAAATCAGGTCAAAGATTTGAGCTGTCCTCATCCAGGCTGTGCAGTTCCATGATATTTTAAATTAAAGGAGATTTTTTTTCCCTTTGTTTGGCTCGGGTGACAGCACTGTGGGGTGGAGGAGGGAGAGGGATTGATAAGGGGTGCAGGGATGGGGTGGATCCTGATCCTGCACGTTCATGCCGAGGTTACTTGGCTGGAAAAGTGGGAAGCACCGGTTTTTCCAGGATAACATCAGGGAGAGCAGCTCAGCCCCAATCCCGGATTTTTATTGCAGCTTTCCCTCTGCCCGGGGCAGCTGCGGAGCCGTTTCCTCTGCAGAAATGCCCCTGTAAAGCACAGCTGGTTAATTAGCCGCTGTTAATTAGCCCCAGCGTTGCCGATCCCGGATCCACATCCTGGATCCACGTGGGATGGGCACGGCAGAAAGGCGGAGGCAGCTCCGTGCCTCGGAGGATCCAGGTTTAATTAAAATGCTAATTTAGGGGGTTGAAACAGCAGATGTAAAAAAAGGGGGAAAATTCCATCAAACCCGACAGAAATGGCTTCCCACTGCCAGAGGGCAGGGAGGGGTGGGTATTGGGAAGGAATTAATGGGATGTTGGGAAGAATTCCTCCTTGTGGGGATGGAGAGGGATGGGATGAATTCCCAGAGCAGCTGTGGCTGCCCCTGGATCCCTGGCAGTGTCCAAGGCCGGGCTGGACATTGGAGCTGGGGGTTCATCCCTGCCTTGTCCCCTTTTTCCCAGCGATCCCGCTGATATCCCACGGGCTGTCCCTGTTTTCTCTCTGCTGAACTCTCCCCCCTCTCTGTGCTCTCTTTCAGCCCCTCCGCCGCTCCCCCCGAAGAACATCCCGGCCACGCCGCCGCGCACCGGCTCCCCCCTGCCCCCGGCCATCGGTAACGGCTCCGGCTCCGGGGGACACCGGGGACACGGGGACAGCCCCGGCTCGGGGGCGGGACAGGGACAGCCCCAGCCCTGTGGTGGCACTGGGGGTGACACATCCCATCCCCAGCTCTGGGGGGACAGGTCCCTGTCCCCAAGGCTGCATTTTGGGCATGGATTTGATCCCTGTGCATCCTCTGCCCTTGGAGTTCAGAGAATTCCAGGCTGGGCTGGGTTGGGAGGAATTTCTGTCCTGTCCCAGGCCGCTGCCAGCCCCGGTGTCCAGCCTGGCCCTGGGCACTGCCAGGGATCCAGGGGCAGCCCCAGCCCTGAGGTGTCTCAGTGGATGCTGCAGTAGAAGCAGCACAAAGATGGTTTTGCCTCCCAAGTCGGTCTCACCCTGGTGAAATTAATGTTCTTTACACCACCCCTGCCTTTGGGAATGCAGTGCAGGATTAGCCTCAATATCCTGCTGAAAACCAGGATATATTCCCAATTCCAGAGCCCTGCACAGCCTCTGCTGAGGAAACCAGAGCTGTGCAGGGTCTGCCTGTGGCAGGAGCTGCTCCTGCCTTCCCTGCCTCCAAATCCCTGCTGAGAGGTGGGAACAGCCCCCCTGACCCTGCAGCCCGGGACAGGGAAGGGAAATGGTGCTGGGAATGAGGGGCAGCCCGAGGGCAGGGATGGAAAGGTGTTGGATGCAGCCAGAGGACATCAGGTGCTGCTTTCAGGCATATAATTCATGGTGCTGGCTGGTGGGAAAGCAGGGTCTGAGCAGGGCAGGCTGGTGGGGCCAGCCAGAGCCCCTCGGGGTGAAACCCCTGTGCCATGAGGAGCCCCTGCTCTGTCCATCCCCATCTCATCTGTGCTCTCAAATCCTGATTTTCCAGGCTGGCAGGGTGTCCATGTCCATCCATCCATCCATTCCCAGCAGCAAATGCCTGATCATTTGCTGGGCTGTGCCTTGTGTATTTGTGAAGCAAATGGCTGAGATCTGGTTTTGTCTGGTTCAGCAAATCCCTATTTTATCCCCCCCCGCCCTAAATGTGGACCCCCAAAACAGAGGAGCAGGGATGGGGTGATGCTGCCATGAAGATCCCAGAGGGCATTTAGTGTCAGCCTGTCCCTTCCCTGGATGTGAAATGCTTGGCTGGTCGATCTGTGGTGGTTCTGGAGTCAGGTGGGAGTGTTGCTGTGTGGTGGCTCAGTGAGCAGAGCCCTGAAATCCCCATCTGTGTGTGCCCTAAAATCCCGATCTGTGCCCTAAAATCCTGATCTGTGCCCTAAAATCTTGATCTGTTCCTGCTTGTGGCTGGATGCATTCCTTGTGGCTGGAATACACTCCCCGTGTGCATCCTGTGCTGCATGCCCAGACTCCAGCAGTGTCCAACCAGCATGTCTGAATATATGTATTTATACCTGAGTGTTTATAAATATATATATATGGAGAGAGTGGGGCGTGCCAGAGTGCTGAGTGCACACCTTTGGTACCTGCTGATAAACCAGAGTTGCTGATAAGGACGTGATGTGGTTTAGAGGACACAAAAGGCTGTGAATTTGGGATTCTTGGCTGTGAATTTGGGAATCTTGGCTGTGAGTGCTGGCTCGTGGTGGTGCATGCTCCCTCCTCCAGCCTTTGGATCCCGCGGGATTCATTCCATGTCGCACCTGGCTGTGCTGGAAACGTTCTTGCCCATGAATTATATAAATACAGATGAGAAAAGGTGATTTTAGAGCCTCTCCCGTAGAAGTAGAGCCCATAGAGAGTAGCGCAGCCCTCGCTTAACGCCCGGTGTAAAATAAACCTCCTCTGACCGCAGGAGGGGACCAGGCAGCAGCAGCAGAGCCCAAACGGGACAAACTCCCGTCCATCAATGACTTGGACAGCATTTTTGGCCCCGTGCCGTCCCCCAAATCTGCTGCTGCCACCGCGGAAGACAAGTGGGTCAATTTTTCCGATCAATCCCCGGAGAACGCGCCTCCGGAGCTGTCGCCCCGGGACAAGGCGGGGTCCCCGGCGGGCAGCCCGGCCAGCGCCCCGGCCGAGCCTCCCCGCCCGCTGCCCTCGCCGCTGCAGCTGGAAGACGCTCCCAAGAAGCTCCCCGAGCAGCAGCCCCACGTTAAGGACGATTCGGCCGAGCCCGTCGCCTCTCCCAAAGATTTTGGGCCGGGCCAGAGAGGGACCCCGCCGCCCCCTCCGCCGCCCACGTACCGCGCCGTGGTGTCGTCGCCCGGACCGGGCGCCAGCACGGGAAGCGCCAGCGGTACGTGCTGAGCTCGGGTGTGCTGCCGTGTGGCCCCGGTGCCCCTCCCGCCTGGCTGTGTCCCTGCGGCCGTGCCCTGCTGCCCGCCCGTGTCCTGCGCCTCCCGTGTGCTTCCCTCCCTCCCTGTGCGCCTTTCCCGGAGCCTTTCCCGGAGCCCTTCCCGCCCCAAACCGGGCACGGGCTTGGTGGTGTTGTCGTTGTTGTTGTTGCGGTTGTGCTCTCCGTGGGGATGGAATGGTTCAGGTGAACGGTCTGAGCGAGCCTCAGATCAGGGCTGGGGTGTTTGTTTTTATCACGTCCTCCCACCCCGGTAATTCCCGGTGGGAATGGTGCTCGGCTCTTCCTGGCTCTGGGTGTGGATGGGAGATGTGTTCCGAGGTGAACCTCTCCCCCGGGAGAAGCTGCTGGCTCTGCCTGCTTTCACCTGATTAATTATAGATGTTCATTAAGGCAAACGAGCCGGGGAGGCTCGGCTTACTGGCACTCCTTGCCTGAGGAGCTGCAGCCTGAGCCCGGCTCAGCCCTGTGCTCCCATCCTGCCTCCACCAAAGGTGATTTTGGGGGCAATCAGAGCCTTGAGGAACCTGCACTGGTGGTGGGGTGGGTGTGCAGCCCCCCAGCTCCGTGTCTGACCCCTGCCACCCTCCTGGTGGGAGCTCGGGGTTTGTGTCACTGCCCGGGGGATTTGTCACGGCCAGGAGGGTGCCCTGAGTGTGGCTGGTGCTGCAGATGTGGCTTTGCTTCAGTGCTGGTGGCTTTTCTGTGCTGGCTCGGGGGGGTGGGCAGGGTCCCTGTGGGGGCTGCGGGGTCCAGCAGGAGCTGGAACTTCTCCAGGAGCTTCCAGGAGCAGGACACAGCAGGATCCATCCCGTACTGCTGTCCTGCCTGCTCCCAGCTGAGCACAGGATGGAGGCGTGCCAGGGCTCCTCTCAGATGGAGGAGCCTGGCCCAGAAGATCCACAGCCCTGCTCCAGGAATTGCCTCCTGTCTCAGCAGCTGGGCAGCAATGGGAAATGAAAAATCCACACAAAAATGGTGCAAATCCTCCAAAGGCTGCAGCAGAGTGTGCAGCACAGCTCCAGCACCTGTGCCACCCTCTCTCGCCTTTCCAAGGCTGGTTTTGGGGTGCTGTGGAGCAGAGCCAGGCCAGGATCTGCCCTCAGAGCCCTGGGTGTCACCAAGGCTCTGCGCAGGGTCACGGTGGAAGGGACCTCAAAGCTCCCCTTGTTCCAACCCCTTCCACCACCCCATGCTCTCCAAGGCCAGCATTCACACACATTTCTGATTCCGTGCTGGTTTCCACATGCTGTCAGTTTCTGCATAGGAAATGTCCATTCCCTCGATGGAAGCCACCATCTGGCTGGGATTTGGCTACCTGGTGGCCACAGAACCCTCCACACTCAGTCCTGCAAGGTTATTTCCCTCAATATTTTCTATTTTCTCTGGCTTTTCTTGGGATAAGGAAGGAGAAGTTCAAACTTTGGTTCCCAAATTAGGCTTTGAAATAAAAGTGGCTTGAATCTTGGAGTTGTGCAGAGGAATGACTGGAATTTATTCCCAGGCCCTCTCTTGTCTGAGCCTGCTCTCCTTCACCTCTTCTTGTTTCTATAAATCCAGCTTTGATCTTTCTTTGCTAAATCTGAGCTATCACCCAAAGAACTCAGGAAATTATTCTCTTGTAAGTGGGAAATTATTAAGTTATCTCAGTCTGAGCCATGGAGCTGCTGAGCTCCACGGAAGCTGGTGACAAACACTGGCTCAGCTGTCCTGGCACGGAGCTCTGAGCTCCCTCCCATTCCTGCTGCCCTTCATGTCCTGGTGCCCCCTCTGCCTGCTCTGCCCAGCTCCAGGTCTTGCTGGGCTTCTCCTGGAAGGAATTCCTGTGTGTGGAGCCAAGCAGGCTCCTGGATCTCCCGTGAGGCACCAGTTGGAATTCCCATTTGGTCACAGGAATCCCCCTCTGCAGCAGGGTCTGTGAGCCCTGAGCTCAGCTCCCTGCTTTGGGAGTCTCTTCCAGCGGGTTGGGAGCTGCTTGTGCTCCCAGCAAATCCCAGAACCTTCCTCTCCCACCCTTCCCCTCCTTTGCTGGGCCAAGCTTTGCCCTGTGACGAGGATCTGTTGTGTTTGTGGGGTGCCCCGTGGCAGGGAGGAATGATGAATATGACTCCACGTTCTTAGAAGGCTAAATTATTATTTTATCCTTATAAATATTATATATTTATATAATATAATTATATTATATATTATATTACAGAATACTATATTACAGAATATTATATTATTTTATTATATTATATTACAGAATACTATACTATATTATATTACAGAATACTATATTATATTATATTACAGAATACTATACTAAGGAATACAGAGAGGATACTTACAGAAGGTTAAAAAGATAAGATGAAAACTCATGACTGTCTCCAGAGTCTTGGTACTGATTGGCCAACAAGTCAAAACAATTGACATGAAACCAATGAAACAATCTCCAAACACATTCCACATGTGAGCACAACACAGGAGAAGCAAATGACATAAGAATTTGTTTTCCTTTTTCTCTGAGGCTTCTCAGCTTCCCAGGAGAAATGCTGGGCGAAGGGATTTTCCAGAAAATATGACTGTGACAAGGATCCCTACCTCCCGGTTGTGCCAGCCCTGGAGCAGTGTTCCATCCACCATCCCACCCCTCCTGCCCGTATTTTTGGGAAAGCTCTCTGATGTCAGTTCTGCAGAGGGACCCGGGCACTGGGCAGCCGCTGCCAGGATCCCATGGGCATCATCCCTCCTGGAATGTTCCGTGCACAGCAGCCGGGCTG